AAAGAGTATATACTCATTTCTATTAATTTTAGAACTGGTAAAACTAATCTACCGCAAAAGAAATCCAAACAGTGGTTGCCTCTGGGTAGAGGGTGAGAGAGTTAAGGATTCACTGGTAAGGGACAGAAAGGATCTTCCTGACCCGATGAAAACATTTTTTATCTTGATAGGGGTGTAAATTATATTAGTGTGTGCATTTTTCAAAACGGATACTATACACTTAAGGTTCATGCATTTCACTATATGGAAATCATATTAAATAAAAATGTATTATTCAAAACATACAATATTCTTTTCACACACTTGGGCAAAATACCATAAAGAAGCTTCATAAATTTACTGGTATCCTGTTTCCACAGATAGAAATTACATTGAAATGCATATATTTTCTCCTTACTTTGCAAGTAACTCTTATTCCTATAATATTCTTGTTATGGTTCATCAAACAGAGAAAGAATAACGTCAGTGTACTGCAAAAGCTGTAACACACACACACATACACCCAACTGTATTAAGTAATCACTAAAGTTTTTTTTGACCTGCAAAAGCAGAATGCCTGCAGTTTGTTAAACAACTTTAACTACTCTCTCTCTAGCCCCAGAAAGCAAAGAATATTACCTAATACCATACTTTTATTTAAACTACCTTAGAAGGAACTTATAATTGTAGTAGAAGAATTATGATCTAATCTTTCTTAAAGCAATTATCAAGACATATGTAACTGCCTGTACATTTCAACCAACCCTAGGGTATTCCCCAGTCAACTTGAAAGACATATTTTCCATGGCAGTATCAGTAACTTCTATAAAACATATCTGATGTGGGAGAAGGGTGAAATTACTATCTTAAAGTATTTATAGGGTTTTCATTCACGCTACATTTACTCCCTCCCAGTACAGAGAGAGAATCCAGAATCAACAGCAATGTTTTCTCATTAGGTCTAAAAATATTTGCTCCCTACCACAATGAAAATGGCTTTCATTTTTTTCTGTTTATATAAATTATAAATATAAATTGAAAATGAGAATCAAAAGAGATAAAAGTATAAAACTGGAAAGAAATTTAAAATTACCTAAATGCCATTATCCTGACACAACCACCACCATTTTGATGACGATTCATTTGAACTCTATGCACACACTCACACAGACACATACTTTACATAAGTCGAATATCAAATATTTTGACGGGAATAACTTTTAAAAATAATTGTTTTCTCTCTTTTTCCTATCTCATCTCCTCCTCTCTTAAATAACCAATGCCAACAACCAGATGTATATCCTATCATATCTTTATCTGGGCTCACTGTATCAAATAAAAATATACACATGTACATACACATATAGTGGTGAGGGAGGGAGAGTTGTTATTCAGGTAACAACAGTAGGATCTTATTATAGATGTTTCTCTGCATCATGCTTTTCTCATTTTATAGTGGAAATTCCTCCAAGTCAACTGGTATGAAGCCAGTTCATTTCATTTAAACGGCTGACAATATTCCATGAAAAATGTATTCAAGCATTCCCCAGTAGATGGGTTCTCTTTTTTTCTCCTGCGTCAAAATCTGACCCTCACTAACAGGGTGAAATAATAAATGTTTGTTTTTAACTGCTAAATTCTGCGGCCATTTGTTACACAGCAATTGATGACTAATACAGCACCCAAGGTCAAAAGAAATATCAACAGTTCTATTTCTTAAGTAGTTAGGTCCAAACAATAAGTATAATACTTATGCCCTGACAATTTAGTAGCCATCCAAAAAAAAATAATCAACATATATTACAAGAAAAATATTTGTATTTTTACCTACCCCACTCATAACCCAACACAAGCTCTCGAGAGAAGTGTTTAGGGTTCATTCACTCTCAAAACATGCCATACGTCCTAGCATTCATGTACACACTTATAGTTTTTTCTCATTATGGAAAAAAAAGGAGTAGCTGAGAGGCTTTGATTTTGTTTTCCACCCCTCTCTAGATAACTGCACCATTAACTTCCTTATCTGCTTAAGCTGCATATACTAAACATAATTAAAATTTCTTACTGACGGAATCAAGCACTGTGAGCATCAAACAGTATATCCGAATAACAGCGATGCCTTAGATCTGTGCAGTCTAATACACAGCTACTAGCCACCTGGGGCTATTTAATCTAAAATAATTAAAATTAAATAAAATTTAAAATTGCATTCCTTAGATGCACTAGCCTCATTTCAAGTACTCAATAGCCACCTGTGGTTAGCAGCTGCCGTATTATACAGTGCAGATTATAGAGTATTTTCATCACTGCAGAAAGTTTACTAGAAACACTATCCTAGAGGTTAATGAAATACAGAGTATTCTTGCACTAAAGACCCCCTATATGTTATACTTTTGGTTTTCTATTTGTTACTTAGATTTTTCTGTCTTCCCCCTTATGACACTTGGCCAGTTGTCAACTTGCTGTTAATGTGCCTATCTTTCACAGCTACGCCCCCCATGCACAAAGCTGCTTCCAGTTGCTGAAACCGAAAGAAACAATCAACCAAACAGAATAACATTATATCCAAAGTGGATTCTTAAGAAAAGGCCCTTAGAACCTAAAATCTCATCACAATGCTTTTAATTTTTCAGAGTCCTCTTTCCCTTTCTTTCTAATTCTCAGACCTGTTCAAGATATGGTAAATGAATTGTTAGTTACAGTATAGTTGTTCCTCACTATTCATGGGTTTTGCACTTGCAAATTCATCTACTCACTAAAATTTATTTTTAACATCAAATCAATACTCTCAGTCATTCCTGGACATGCACAGAGCAGCAAAAAATTTAAGTTGCCAGAAGCACACTCTCCCAGCTAAGGTCAAACAATGGACCCTATGCCTTCTTGTTTTAGCTCTCATACTACAAACAAGTTTCCTTTTCATGGTCTATTTAGGCACATTTAAAAATATTTCTGTGTTTTCTGTTGGTGTTTCACTGTTTAAAATGATCCCCAAGTATAGTGCTGAAGTGCTGTCTAGTGTTTCTAAATGCAAGAAGGCTGCAATGTGCCTTACAGAGAAAATATGTGTTATTGGATAAGCTTCATTCAGGCAAGAGTTATAGTGCTAATGGCTGTGAGTCCAATGCTAATGAATAAACAGTATACACAAAGTAAGGTGTCTTTAAACAGAAATGCATATAAAGCAACATTATGTATTGACTGGTTGATGAAAATCTGTAACAAGAGGCTAGCAGGAACTTAACTCTGAGTTACAGTGAAAGATCCACCAGACTGGTAAAATCTAAAAATCATCCATAGAAGTGATGGGAAGAACACAATGCACAACTACTTTCATACACTGCCAGTCAGAGTATAAATTATACATCTATTTTGTAAAAACAGTTTTGCATTACCAGATAAATGTTGAACACACATATCCTCTATGATCCAGCAATTGTAAACCAAGGTATATACCCTAAAGAAACTCTTGTATGTGTGCACCAGGAAAAAACATAGAAGAATATTCATAGCATCTTGTTCCTAAGAGCAAAAACTATAAAAAACTCAAAAGTCTATCAACTGAAAAATGGATAGATATATTTTGGCATACTTATATACTGGAACACTAAACAGTAGTGAAAACTAACAAACTATAATTATACTCGGCAACATTAATATCATAATGTTAAGCAAACAAACAAAAAGCTAGCCAAAGAAGATGTATAATGAGTGATTCAATATATATTATATTTATATAAAGCCAAAGCCAGACAAAACTTAAATCACAGGAATTTATAAACATATACATATATAATACTATGAGAATATGCTTAACAAAATATGAAATATTAATTACTGGGGTGGGATTAGAGGATAGATATAAGATGGGGCTCACAGGAAGCTTCAAAGGTTGTAGCAGTTTTCCATTTCTAAAGATGGTTGACAAGTAAACAGGTATTTGCTTTATTATTCTTTATATTTTATATATAAATGTGTGTGTATTCTTTGGATATATATTTTGCAATTAAACACTTAAAACACCAGGTGATCCAAAAAGGTTTGTAAACTAAAAAAACAACTAAAAAGGAAAAATAAGTAGAGACTAGGTTTCCAAGAATTACACTAGAATAAAAAAAAATAAAGTAAGTTTTATTTACCCATCTTCTTTACCTATCAGAGCATTAATTTCCTCAAGGATGTGGACATAAGTGCTAATGCTGAAAGTGTAATATAACTGAAAAATGATTATTTTTTAATTCAGATGACATCGGACACCACTTGTCAAGGAAACAATTTAGCTCATGGTCCTGATGTCATCTAAATATACTAGTTTAGTAAAATAACAAACTATATTAAGCTTATTTTCCCTAAAAGGCAGTTACTGAATCACTGAGTCAAAGTTGAATTTACTAACATCTCCTTAAATATTTACAGAATGACTTGAGTTTAAGTGCAGAAGTCACAACCTCTGCTCAGATCAGTACTCTGATCAATTACTACTCAGAACACTAACAGCACCTTAACCAGTTCTTTTTAGTTAACATTTTCCTCAAAACGTAACAAGAAACTTAGTTTTGCATCATTAGTAATCCAGAAAAATCATAAATTAGATTTTAAATGTTCCAGTAGAGAGAAGTATAAAGTCCATGCTTCATCAAATTCCACACTGAATTTGCCTATGAAATAAAAATTCTTCCAAAATGTAAACAAACAAAAAAAGAGGAAATAAAAATTTACCTCTGGGACTTCCCTGGTGGTCCAGTGGTTAAGACTCTGCGCTCCCAATGCAGGGGGCCCGGGTTTGATCCCGGGTCAGGGAACTATATTCTGCATGCTGCAACTAAAAGAGCCCAAGAGCCCGCATGCCGCAACTAAGGCCTCACACAGCCAGATAAATAAATTAAAAACAAAAAAAAATTTACCTCACAATTTCAAAGACTGAATAAACTATTAATGGAATCTAGATAACTGATCAGTTAAGTGCATGCCTATTTAAAATCTGACTTCTGAATGGTATCAAGAGCTACACATAATCTTACCTGGGGAGGGTAGTTGCTCTCTGAAGACCACCGTGAAGACTGGTCATTTGGCTTATCCACTAAAATGTTCCTGAAATAAAGAAATTAAAATTATAGCAATTAATTAAAAGAATAAGTGAACAGGCATATACAAAAAGAGAAATAATCTACCAGATGCTAAAATTATCACAAAGTTATATAATACCTGGAACTTGAATAAGAAGAGAAAATTAAACAGAATAAGAAACACAGAAAATGTCTAGTAATTTAAAAATTTTAAAATATGATAAAGGTAGCATTTTAAACAATTGAAAAAAGTACTATATACATATGCATATATATGTGTGTGTGTGTGTGTGTGTGTGTGTGTGTGTGTGTGTGTGTGTGTGT